TTCGATGCAAACAAACAAACAATCAAATCTTACCTCATTAAAATGTTATAGATTCTTACAAGGTTTTTAACTCACCGTCTTGATTATTTTCTGCAGGCAAGTCTAAAAATGTATATTAACATTATAAGAATAATTTATATAAACCTAAGTATAGTTTTTAACAGCAGACACTAATTAATGTGCTTGTTCTAACAAGGTTAGTTTTAATTAAAACACTAGTGATCGAAGAATCTAAATATAATTATTGTTATCCGATACAGTTAAACGATAATATCATTGTAACATTTCGACTTTTACCTGTTACAAAATAAAACACATGAACTCTTGCATAACGAATTAACGCTTTATATACTGGATAATCATTAAAGTATTAAAGTATTTGACGCTTTTCTGAAAACTTTTCTGAACACTATCAATATATTTCATGAGAATCTGTTCTATTTTCGATGAGAATAATTGTTAAAATTTAAATAGCCAAAACCGCGCAAAATTTCTGCTCTATGTAATGGCGCTGGTCACGTGATATTTGTGACTTCACATGCCATTAAATATGTCAAGGCGATACAACCTATTTATCAACTATTTATTTGCTAATGAAACAAATATTATTACAGAAGAGTAATTGAAGTTACATTTTATGTTTTTATTTGGATCTACTCTGGGATTTGTTTATAAAAATGAGTTACAAATTATATATATAAATACAACTGCGATGACAAGGAATATGATACGAATAAAAACATCTAAATCTGGATAAATTTTAGTAGTATTAATACATTATATACGAGTGACTTAGGCTGTTAACGCGGGTGAAGCTAACACCCCCGCGCTCTACAAGACTGGATTCAGTTTTTGAAGTGCCCTCACTTGCTCCACAAGCCCCTCCCACCCCTAATCCGACCCTGCGTGCTAGAATAGGTATCTCCTTGTCTTGTCGAGACATTAAACGTTGTTCTCTTAACAGCAATCTTGAAGCAATAAATAAAATCATCGAACCACCACTACTTTAACGCAAACCTTTAACCATATGGTAAATATTACCCTACATTTAAACATTTCTATGATAGATACTAACCGTCATTGTTTAATTTCTGTGCTGAAAAAGAGACGACTACATAATATCAGTTTATTGACGTGTATACGTACAAAACTTTAAAATTACTAAGTTTAACATTTGTAGACAGTTATCTAAAGAAAGAAACGTAAAAAGTTATTGATTAATGATAGATTCGATAGTTTAATTGAGGCAGATTAAGCCTCAATTATATTACACAAGAGTTCAGATTCGGATTGATTGGACTTCAATCGCACGAACTGAAAATTGGGAAATAGCAAAATATGTTTACCTTCGCCGCTAAGATTATCACTGCCATCGAGATCACGAAGTATAGAACCTTTTTTCACAGTGACAGTTTTTGATTTAAATACTTTTAATGCGTTGCGTTTAACTCGTTTATTAATGGCTGAAAAGAAAAGTGACAATTATTATTTAGCCCCGGAACGGCTTTGCGGAGGTCGTTCTTTTCCCAAATGTATTTTTGACACCTCCCCAACATTCACTGGCGTCCGGGGCCCCCACTTGCCCTCCCTAGATCTGGCCCTATGATTAATTGACAGTTGTTGATATTGGATAATGTATGGAAATCGATTTATATAATTATATTTAACAATGTTATTTGGTAATGATAGCTAACTAATTACGGGTAGTCATATTGCGAGTAAAAAATACTCATGTTTAGTCTAATCAATGCTAGAGTAAAGTATACAGTTGCTAGGCTACTATTATTATTCTAAGACAAGGGTATTAGAGGAATACATATATTCTTACTACAAAATGCTTAAAAAACACACCTGCACGCGTAGCACGACGAACTCGAGAACGTTTCTGAATTAATTAGGGTGCCCAAACACCTTCATTTCTGATCTATGTATATTTCTAAATATATATAACTCAAAGGTGACTGACTGACATAGTGATCTATCAACGCACAGCCCAAACCACTGGATGGATCGGACTGAAATTTGGCGTACAAGTAGATGTTATGACGTAGGCATCCGCTAAGAAAGGATTTTGATCAATTCTACCCACAATTGTTTGTGATGGAAACTTCTTTGAATACCGTGCGTGTATTAACAATGTATTGTATTAATTTTGATATTGACAAGATCTTCACGTGTGGGTCAGGAACCTACAACTAAAATACATAATGACTAGCTGACCCGGCGATTTTCGTACCGCCATATTTTATTTCTTTATAGTGGGTCTCGATGGTTCGAGAGGGAGCTTTGTTTACGCTTATAGGAGGTCTCGATACAGCTTTGGACATTTAAACCTGAGATGGCGACTCTATAGAATTTGATGGCGCAATCTTTAAACTTTGATTAAAATTTGGCGCTAAGACTTTGATAATTCTCTAACAAAAATAGTATAAACATTTTTTTTTATTAATGGTAATAATATTGTGACATAATACGCAGTATAATTATAAAAATATCAGTTACTAACCATTCAAATAATACAGTTATGTCGTGAACATAAATAAATATTACGTGAAATAAAATAATAAAATCGTTTAATTTATATTCGTTTACATTCACTACATAAGCGAATGATTGAGATGATAACTATCCTATCCAGTAAGTTAGACCAAAATACGGGTACATGTGGAATTTGATTGTAATCGGTTCAGTAGTTTTGGAGTTTATTGGCGACATACATCGTGACACAAAATTTTTATATATATAAAAAAGATAGCACTACTATTCACATTCACCTTGGTTGTAAAGGCAATGTGAAATTAAGAGGTTCAGATATTTCTTGATAATAATTTAATTAATGAATCCTTAAATAAAGTATCAGGCTTTTCTAAAGGTATATTTGAATTAGATTTCATTTTTCTTCGTGTTGGAATGCTTACTTTGTTGACTGTTTTAAAGTATATTTTGTTTCTTTTTATGATATAACTGTTTGTTTCTTAAAAAAAAGTTTAGAATATGTATTTAATTTTTTAAAACTCACCTGTATTCGAGGAGTTTTTATGTTCACAGTGTTTTTTTGGGACAATCACGCCTTCTGCATCTGTAAAAAAATATTGCTGCCTTGAAGAAGTAAGCCAGAAAGCAGAGCTCAATGCGGCACAATGCGGCACTGATCCCAATACTAAAGTAGGATAGCGAGAGTTGGGTATGTCAGAAAGAGCGTGTAAGTAAGATAAATGATAAGAATAAAGAGATGTAAATAAATACCCAATGAAATAATGACAAAACTGATATGGGCATAACGCGAAAGTGGAAGAATGCAGAAGCCGAGGAAGGCCACGACATACTTTTCACGATAAATCAATCGCGTACCGTTTGAAGGTGATGTTGAGGCCATCAAAAACCAGGAAGTATGTATGAAAAGAGTAATAAAAGTGGATGAGGCGATAGATTCCGTGCTTTGTGGTACTCGGTCCTCTCTGTCTACCCCGAAGGGATAAAAAGAGAGATATATATCGACATTTGACAAGTTAGTTCATTATACTTACCTTGGTGGCGTACAGAATAAACGTCTCAGCCAACGATCGTTTTTGTTAAGAAATTTTCGCAAGGGTAACTAAAAATTATTTACTCAGGCTTCACCGTGCTTCGGAAGGCACGTTAGGCCGTCGATCTCGGCTGAATTTGGAGTCATTAATAGCCTCCACTCCGCATTGGGCCAGTGTGGAGGGTTGTGGCCCATCCTCCATAACCTAAGGAAAACCTAAGCCCCTGCGGTAGGGATGTAGAAGGGCCGAGGGTGATGTTGGTGATGACCAGTGGTCGGAATTAGGTATTGTTATTCATGTACTTACACTGATTTTATACAGCGAAAGAATAAAGTGGATATGCCTCAAATCCCGAGATTAATTTAAAAGAGCAGAAAAAAATCCCGCGATTTTTTAAATAAAAAGTTATTTACTTTTGCACAATTTAAACTACTGCACGCACGACGTTGCCAAACTTACATCAATGAAAGAAAGAAATAAAGAAAGAAGAAATAAAGAAATCCCGGGAAGGTCCACATTAATATCAACATTTCGATGCAAGTACATAAATAACTCTACCTAATTCCGACCTCTGGTGATGACTCACCTTGGTGGCATCTCATATATTCCAATTCACATTTATTTATCATATAAATGTATATTGTCTTCTTCGAAGTTTCTGCGTTCTTATATTTGACCTTGACGCACACTGGATCTTCTATTGGTGGACATTTTACATTTTTACAGTATTTCAGGAGATCAGGCGCTTTAAACTTTTGTAACTTTACGTCTGCTATTACAGACAATATTATTAATGGAAATACTAGAAAAAATGTATAATTTAATTCGATTATTCAATATTACCACAAAAGTAAATATAGATCACGTGCTTTTTAAAAATTTGATGCAGGCTTTCTGATGAAAATTTCTTTTGCGTGTAATCAAACCTTTACATTTTATTTTGTTTTGGGCCGTATGTTAATGCTACAGGCTCGACACATTTTTAAATGCATAGTGAAGTTCAAGATAGTAAATTAAAAATTATTGACTGAACTCTCGAAAATGCTTTTACAACTATTATGTTCCAAATTTCAAAAGTATCATTATGATTGATCTAGTGAAGGTCGCCTATATTAAATACATACCACATAATAGAAGAACACGGGGCATATTTTATATAAGTCACTAACGAGGCCGGCTATAAAAATGAAAAAGAAAAATTATAATAGTCGTCACGCTCCTATGATTTTAATTGGTTTTCAATTTAATTTTTAATTGACTCAATGTTTGTGGGTTTATATTAATTAAATGGACTTTGATTAATAAAAGCAAATGAAGAATAAATGCAATTTATACAATTTATTAACGTCTTATTGGAATAATGTCAAATTAAATGTTTTAATAGAAAAAGAAAGAAATTTAATTATGGGCTGTATGGCATTATATTATACCATCTATTATTGACATTTTAGAAAATGTCAATGTCAGTGAGTTATCAGTTTGACATTTGATAGAGCTTTAAAGTTTAAAGTTTGTTTTATTTTGTAAAACAGTTACTTAAACTTACTTACTTATTTTGTAAAATGTATTAAATTGGTTTTCATTTGTTTTTTATGTGTAAGTTTGATGTTGGTCGTCTTAACTGTGATACTCCGTATTATAAAGATATAAGAAGTTGAAGATAAAACTTCAACATTTTAAGTTGTAACCATTGATTTCTCTTGTGATTACGAAATGGAAGATTATTTTAATACACTTAACAAATTGGTACGTAGCATAAATTATTATTTATATTCTAACTATCCGTTTGCACGCGACTTCGCCTGCATTTTATAGCAATAATAGCCTAAAAAATTCTATTCCATATATACAATAAAACACATATTTACTATTTACTTACTATTTGTTACAATTGAGTTACACTACTACTATTTCCCTCCACCCTGCATTAGGTCAGAGTGGAGGATCATCACCCATCCTACTTAACCATCCATAAGAAAGGCCCTAGCCCCTGTATTGGAGTCGTAAAAAGGACTTATAATTACTACTATTTCTAACTAGATCTGCCTTCTTACAATATTAGCAAAGTATCTTTACTATTTTTATAAAGATTAAGATTAGTTTGTTCTGTTGAATAGTAAACCTACTATAATTACACAGGTGAAGTTATGGGTCAACTTATATAAAATAATCTCTTAGAAAAGTAAAAAAATAATTGATGTTTTTACAGAAATCTATGGATTACAATGAACTAACCATAGTGCTTGGAAATGAGAGTTGCGACTTGGATTCAGCTGTCAGTTCCTTTGTCTATGCTCTGTTTTTGCACTGGCAATATCATCAGATCAAATGTAAGGTGTGCACCAGAAATAAGAGAGATGAGACTGTTTACAAAGATAATATATTTGTCTTTGTCTTGAATGTTGATAGACAAGACTACGATTTGAAAACGGAAGTGGCATATCTATTTAGGCAACATAGTATAAATGACAGCCAGATAGTTTTTAAGTGAGTCTTTGGTATGGGATATTTTTTATTTTATAAACTCTAGCTTATAAGTCCCTTAAATCGCTTGTTTGTCCCTGTATGGTCAGCAAACAAAAACTGAGTAGCGAGTACCCATAGTTATATTGTGTTGTTACCATGGACAAAAACTATTTTCTTTCTTCTGTGCATCAGACAGATTATTAAAAAATAGAAGAAAACAAGTACTTTTTATTTTTCTGTAATCAAAATAAAGATGTTGATGTTTAGTTTATTGAAATATCAATAAACTACCACACCATTTGACGTTTAGTTTATTGAAATATCAATAAACTACCACACCATGCTCCATCATGGCTGCCCATGTTTTGGTTTTTGAAACCAAATATAAATTGTAAGTTATACTACATTGTAAGCAACATTAACTTACAGATTAAGTTTCAAACATATTTTATAATTAATTGTCATTATTGTCAAGTAGCCAATTAGAAAAGTTTCTAACGCATAAGCAATTAGAGGGACTTAAATCTGTGTTACATAAATACTTATGTTACATTTTCTTTACAGAAATGACATTGACTTAAAACAGTTAATCATGAAGAAACCAACTAAAATAATATTAGTCGATCACCATACTTTAGCGTTGCAAGACCAGTTTCTAGCACCTTACGTAACAGAGGTAATAGACCATAGACCAAGAGATGAATCAGGTTGGAATTATAAAGAGGACACAAGAAGTACCATAGAGCTGGTAGGCTCTTGTACTACGTTGGTCACACAGAGGATTAAAGATTTGAGCGCATTGATGTCAAAAGAACTGGAATTCTTTAATGCTTACCCTATCACTAGTGACATGTTGCACTGTGAGTATTTTAACATTATTGATATAAGAACTGTCCCAGAAAATCCGGGACAGGTGGCAACTCTAATACTATAATTATAAAGAGGAATGGCTTGTTTGGTTGCATTCAATAGGCTATGAACCTAATGGACTCATTTTAAAAATTCTTTCATCTGTGGGAAGCCTATATCATATGCAAGTGATTTAGGATATGATTTATCCGGAAAAATAACAAGGGATGAAAATGGGAATTTCCGCCAGCAGCTTCGCCCTCAATGTCTCTAGAGAACTGTTTATTTGGACACTGATATAATAATAATGACAAATTGAATAGTAATTGATGGTTATGGTAACGTCTTAATTCCGTATACAAACTTCCACTTTCATTTTCATCCCTTTATTTGATGTTATTCTGGATAAAATATAGACGTGGGAGAAAGAATGTTTAAAATCTGTCCAGTTGTTTCTGTTGACTGGTAGAAAATGCCCCCATGGCATTAAGTCCGCCATTTGTACATTTTAATTTGTGCATAATACTTAAATTAATAAATACCGATTTGCAAGAGTATATGCAAACAAACAAATAACCAGTCAAATTTTTCCTTTTTATAATATTTTTATAGACTAATAAACAAGATGAAAGCTTATGTGAAAATAGAGTCAGTTGTGGGTTATACCACTTTTGCACCTCATATAATATAATATTGCGTGCATGCGTGCATGGCCTCATATAATATTGCGCTATGAATAGGACTGGAGCAGCAATGAAAACTGTTGCAAAAACAGTAAAACCAAGTAACAAAATCATGAATTTACATCTTAATGTAATATTTTTAAGGCACAATAATTTTGGACACAGTTAATTTCTCCAAAGAATTTAATAAAGCGACGTCACACGACGAAGAAATTATACGTTTTCTGGAGACACTCTTGAAGCCAGATGACCGTGAGTCGTACAGGTAGTAAATCTGTTCTAATGAGGGCTAACGCTTTTGAATTTTTCACTAGAAGCGCTAGTGTAGCGTGAGGTCTTCAAAATGTCAAATATAATACATTGTTGGTTAACTACATGCGTTTGTTTTTAATTGTTAATTAAAACTTATAATTGTTTACATACCTAAACTATTGTACACTGTCATACAGTAAATATGTAATATGACATCTGTTGCACCCGCACTATATCTTATGTTATAAATGATTGATTGATTGAAAAAACGGTAGCCCTCATAAATTTATGCGTTCAATGAATTGTGCCAACTTTCCAAAAATTCATTGACCTGACACATTTTCTTTTAAGGGTCGGGTCTTCCTACCATTAGTGATAATGTAAATAAGTTTTTGCTTAAAATAGGATAACAACTGAGCATATTTTAATTGGGAGGTGAAATGTGTAATTTTTAAAAAATGTTTTGAATTTGAGGTTATAACAGCTGTAAAAACTAGAAATATTGTCAAGTTACTTTAAATTTTTTTTAAATTCATAGCTTTGTATAGTTTTACGTTTAGCTATGGAAATAAATTAAATGTTATTTTTGCTTTGCACTTTTATAACCGTTGCTTTTGAGAAATAATTAGGAATTATTTTAATAAAAAAAAGAAAGCACTTAATAGCACCTCTCTAGATGGCGACTCTAGCAAAAGTTGATTTTTGCACGAATGGACCAAAGATAGTCATTTCCGTTCCTTTTAACTAACATATTAAAAAACTGAAATTTGCAAAGTTCTAAACTTGGATACCAATACCAATACGAAAAAGTACAAATACAATATGAGTTGTGTATTAAGTTTTGAAAATTAATTTACTTTTATTCATGGAAGAAAACCAGAAGGGCTGTCATTGAGAGGTCAAGAAAGCACCGTAGCGACATCTAGTTTGATTTCGGGAACTAATTTTATTTTAATATTTTCTCATTAATTTTGTACCTTTTAAAGGGTACTCAAACGGTTAAAACGATGCCCATTTACTGAGACTCCGCTGTCAATGTCAATTTGAGTATCAAAAGCTTAGGGTTTAACTTGAATGCAACATACCAATGCTTTAAAAAAAAATGTTTTCCTTGTAATTTTTAAATAAACTGGTTTTACCCAACACAAACAACATAATTTTCTTGTGTCAACAGAAAGACTAAGTTAGAGCTTCTGATGAATGCGAAAGCAGATGTTTCATCTTTAACTCCTGCACAACTGCTGAGAAAAGACACCAAGATTTTCGGTGATATTCTTGTACCGAGCTTCCCTTTACTAGTACGGGTACGTTTCACTCACTTATTATTAATTATTAATAATATAAGGAACATTCCTTATTAAGATTACATGGAATAATTGGAATAATTCCACATTGGTATACACGCCTGTAGTGTTATTTTAAAGATAGTCCTCCGATATTACATTGCTCAGATTCCAAAATAAGTAGCTGAAGCACCCGTATTATGGAATATCCAAGACAATGAAGGTACCACAACACTCAGTCCTGAAACAATATTTATTTTTTCTGGTAGTATTTAATATAGGTATTATTACCGATAACTACACTTTTATGTTTAGTATATCTATAATATTATATTAATTATAAAAAAACAGATATTTCATACTCCTTATCACGTGATAACAAACAGCGCGTGACGTCACGCTACTCTTACTCATATCAGAACTTAGAGAATTGAACCTTATGCATATATAGAACGGTATTAGTTTAAGAGTATGACGTCATAGTGACGCCATTATAAATGCTCGCGTTTTGTTTGCATCGAACAGCCTTCGAAACTACTGAAACTATTTTAAAAATTCTTCCACCTACTTGAAGCTACATCATATGCGGTGGATATAGGATATATTTTATATCGAAAAACAGCAAAGGGAAGAAAATGTGAGTGGAAGTTTGTATGGGGAATTAAAAAGTTACCACAGTAACCATTGTTTACTATTCAATTTGTCATTGTAATTATATCCATGTCGTGATATGAATCGATATCCAAATAAACAGTTCCCTAGGGAACCACGCGGGCGAAACCGCTGGCGGAAAGATAGTAATAGCATCTATTATAATAAACTACTAGTAGTTTCCGAGTCTAGGCTGTTTTAAATATTCTTTCATCCGCTACGTCATATGCGGCTATAGGTTATAATTTACGCGGGAAATGTCGGGAAAACAGCTGTAATGAAAAGTGTTGTTTTGCTTGTTACAAGCACTTTTGAATCGTCAAAAAATAGTTTTTCCCCTACCACTTGTTCAGGACGTCTTTTAGCTGACAAGAAGAACAAGCGAAAGAAACTTACCAGCTCTCTATCATAAGTAATGACATTTACATAAATCATGTCATTACCAAAATAATATGTATTATCACAATAATAAATACAACTTTCAAAGTCTGTAGGACATAGGTTGGTACATATAAAATTAGTCGTTACATATAGCTAGTATAAAATATGCATTTCCCTTAGGAATTCTTAGAGAAGCCGAATGTTGAAGAGGCATTAAAAGAAGCTCTGATTACGAGGAATTGTTCTATCGCCGTGTTACTTGGCATGGATTTGAAGGCTGGCATAAAAAGAGACGCTGCTATATGCGCGAACGAGACGGACAGAGCTGATCAGGTAATAAATTGATGAAATCGCTCGTGATATTTTATATGTGGAGCTCGATGGTGCATTGGGTGTTAAGCAACTTTTGCGATGGTTTGTCATGGGATGGGTGACCGGAGTTTCATAATGTCGGACTCCTCCGTGCTTTGGTAGCCACGTTAAGCCGTTGGACCTGCCTGCATCTGTAGTGGTTAACTCCCACCAATCCGCACCGGACCTGCGTGGTGGGTCATGGCCCATTCTCGCTATCCGATTTGATTTAACTCCATCTATAGGGAAGGCCTATGACGTCATACCCTTGTACATTTTCGACGTAGTTGTGACATACGAGCCCCCACTTCTCAACTTTAATGCCTATAATCGGAGCCATTTCTTGTTAAATTGCAGCATAAATAATCGTTTGTAATATTTTTCTGTTCATCTGAAGAACTGAATAGAATTTCCTTATCTTCTCATTTCCAATTCATTTAATTCCAATTCCCAACATTTATTATCAGACATTACTTAATATTTTTAACTACATTGAACTTTGTTTTTTTCAGTTGGCTACTTTCTTGGAAAATTGGGACAACCCCCCACTACAATTGACCCCCCAAATATCCCGCCCACCGGCACACCGATACTACGAACAGCTGAATCTATCGGCGACAAGAAAACAATATGTGCCAGCTTTAAAACAATTCTTGAATAATAAATCTCTTATAGTCTAACACTCGTATGTGTAGTCGAGAGAAGTATTGAAGAAGTATTTAAAAAAAAAATAAAGAAAGCACTAAAATTTGAAGGTTCTACACTTAGATATAAATACAAACACGAAAAAGTACAAATAGAATACGAGTTGTTTATTGAGTTTTGTAAACTAATTTACTTTTATACACGAAAGAAATCCGGAAGTTGTCATAGAAAAATCAAGAAAGTACCGTAGCGACATCTAGTTTGATTTCGGGAACTAATATACATTTTTAATACTTCCTCATTACCTGAGTAAAAGTCATAACTCAAGCGAAAAAACCAAAGGAAGAGAATTTTAATGTAATAAAGATTGTTTTTTACTATTTACACTTCTTATTTCATTCAAAGTCTTGTGTGTTTGTTAAACATATTTACTTAAGTAATTACTTGAACTCGATCTCGGTGGCGGCGTAGTGGGTAAGTAACTTTCGCAAGGGTCGGTCACGGGATGGGTGACCATTTTATTATCTTGAGCTACTCCTTGCTAAGGCACGTAAAGTCGCTGGTCCCGTCTGCATTTGCGGTCGTAAATATCTTCCAATCCGCATTGGGCCCGCGTGGAGGGTCATGGCCCATCCATCTTAACCATACATAAGGAAGGCCTGAGCCCCTGCGATGGGGACGTAAAAGGGCTGTTGATGATGAAATTACTTAACTCTAATTATCACTTTTACTTGACTATAGATACGGGTGTAAGAGGTCGTAACAAAAATGTGCTAGAGCTTTCAAAAGCTTGATATTTCAGTATGTTGAAGTACTAAGGGTAGACATCACCCACCCAATGTAGCGAAAAACTTGTTATTAATCTAAAAAAGTAGACAAAACAAGCCTAAATGCTGAAATATCAAGCTTAAGAAAGCTCTTGCACATTTTTGACATAGCTCTCAGTCTATTAAAACAATTTGCGAACACTAATATTTCTAACAGATGTGTATATGTCGCATCATCTTTACGAAGATCGTTTGATTTAGTGCTAGCTACTCGATTACTTAATTACTCGATTGTAGAGAGAGCGTGATCATCGATCCTTTTAATTTTATTAGAATGGTGATACTGACTTTGACAGTTCGTTAAAAAAAATCAAGTTGCCGCCATTTTGGCACACATTCTGTTTCCGATCGCCGAGGAGTAAAGACATCCGACGACATCACGCTTATCTAGTTATATTTTCGTATGAAAAGTGAAAAAATGTAACAAATCCACGTTGGTATACACGCCTGCAGTGTTATTTTAAAGATAGTCCTCCGATATGGATTATCTATTTGGGCTTCGTAATAGGCCCTTCTGACTACCTTGAAGTTTATTCCTTTCAGACCAGTGGTGTCAAATAATTTAAATAACAGTAAAACAATTATGTTTTCTGACGGTCTAGGACAGGGAATGGGGTTAACAATTAAAAGTAAATATGACCAAAACTTTATAAATATATGTACTCCAGGACAATCGCTAAATAACATTGTGAATAAAATTAAACCACAAGAATTGGATAGTTTCACTAACATTATTGTTTTATGTGGTGACAGTACCTTAACTTCAACACGGGACATTTTGATTAATATTAAAAAGTTGCTAAAAATTCAATCGGAAACAAATTGTAAAATGATAATTAGTGCTTATCCTTATGTGCATAACTACACTAAAGAACAAAATGAACGCATATATAAATTAAATTTAAATATCTTTAATTTGATATCTCATCATAGCGATGTTATTTTATACTTTGACATTAACAAATATATTAGTAAATTTAAGTTGACAATAGATACTATGTACCTTGCAAAGTTATATAGGACTCTGATAGCTACTCTGTTAGCTTTCAATTTACAAAATTCTGTTATAGTTGATATAACAAAGTCTCATTACTGTGTTCAGTGCCGGTTTTAGCACTACTGGCGCCCTGGGCGAAATTTTTTCGGCGCCCTCTAACTGCAATTCAATTACAATCAGTTACTACTACATACTACAAATAAGTTACTTGTCTTTTTTTCGCCGACCCGGCCTACTTACTTGTAATCTTCCCTAAATTTAGGTAGATTGTTAAGTTGGCAGCACTAGAATGGTAAGTAGTGTTCAATCGGTTTAATTTCTCGGGAATCCCCGACTTTCCGACCATACAGAAACAATGTGTTTTTCTATAATCTGGGATTCCCTAGATCTATCTCTTTTAATTTTTGACGAAGAAGAACACAATCAACAATTATCTTCTTGCTTGACATAAGTGGACGCTCTTAAAACAATTATTCGATTATTTTAAAACAAACAAACGTAAGTACAGATTCAATTTTACTTTAACAGGTTGTCACATAATTGTTATCTATAACTTTGTGTAATTGTTGTAACTTTGTGACAGTGAGTTTGCAGTGGGCCACTACTTATTGTATAATCAATTATTTTGCTATTTCAAATAAGTGGACAAGTAGCTGGATCCGCTATATTCGAGACAACAGTATCAACATCATCTAGTACATGTATTTGTTGTACATCAATTACAGATTTATCCTGTGCAGCATCTGTAATCATAGCACAACTTGCTCCCTTACTTCGGGATTTTTCATCCACAATCTCTTGAGTAGCTATTCCATCTGACTTGCCAGACAGAGGCTCCACTGCCGATGCATTCGTTTGTATTGCAGCATTTTAGCTTCAGCTTAACGTTTAAACATGCTCAAACGAAAATTTTCTTAAATGACCGAGCGATAATGCCCGCCAATGTACGTCATATTACCTAATAAAATACATATATTTTACCATAATATAATATTTTTCTTGTTAAGTTTCCTTTCAATTCATGCTGAAGGTGAGGCAACTTGAAAATAAAAAAAAATCTCAAGGTTCTTGTTCTTTTTTCGCCGAACTAGTAGGCCTTGTTCAATGAGCAAGGGAACTATAAGACGGCGTTTGTAGGAAATGAGGAAGTATTAGAAAAAAAAATTGTTCCCGAAATCATACTAGATGTCGCTACGGTATGTTCTTGATTTCTCCATGACAACCCTTCCAGTTTTCTTTCATGTTTAAAAGTAAATTAGTTTTCAAAACTCAATAAACAACTCATATTCTATTTGTACTGTTTCGTATTTGTATTGATATCTAAGTTTCGAACTTTTCAAATTTCAGTTTTTTAATATGTTATTTAAAATGAACGGAAATGACTGTCTTTGTTCCATTCGTTTCCTGCAAAAATCAACTTTTGCTAGAGTCGCCATCTAGTGGAGGTATTTTTGTAGTGCTTTCGTTTTTTTAAAATACTTCCTCATTATACAGAATCAGAAAAAAGCGTCGGACGAAAAAGGGGCGCCGTGGCCTGCGGCGCCCCTTTTCGTTCGGCGCCCCTGGGCGGTCGCCCAACCGCGCCCTACCCTAACGCCGCTACTGACTGTGTTAGTAATTCTACTAACGTAAATAGTACTATACCCATTTCCAACTCAGTTTTAAACTAAAGGGTAAGACAACAGTCAAATCTACTAATTTTAATATTATTCATCAAAATATTCAGGGTTTGACTAAATGCTTAGCTCATATACACGTAGGAGAGCCCAGCGGGGAGGATCATTAATATTTGTAAATAATAATTTCAAGCTTAAGGAGCGTAAAGATATAGTGAATCTTTCAGTTGAAAGTCATATTGAGCTATCTTGTGTGGAGCTAAATAGTATGATTGTAGTATGTGTATACCGACCCCCTGATAGTGACTATGGAACTTTTGAATCTGTGATGGAAGATGCACTTACGAAATTACAGACAAAAAACAAATATTTGGTTGTGTGTGGTGATTTTAATGTAGATCTTCTAGTGAACAGTTCAACATCCGTTCGTTTGCTATCATTATTTAAATGCTTCAATCTTTTTAATCAATTTCTTGAGCCTACTAGAGTAGAAAAATACGTGCCTAAGGTAGACAGCCAGTTTAAATTTAAATATATTACTTTCTTAGATATTATTAAAACTTTTAATTGTCTGAAAATAAAAAACCCATGTGATTTATGGGGCATATCTCTTAATATTATTAAAAGTATAGTTCATGTTATAGCCCCTTACTTGGCTGATATATTTAATCTTTGTATAGATGAGGGAATTTTTCCAAATCTTATGAAGCAAAGCAAAGTTATACCTCTTTTTAAATCCGGAAATAGGGAAGACCATAGTAATTATAGACCTATATCAATATTACCGACGTTAAGTAAAATCTTTGAAAAAATAATTCTTGAACAGTTATTGTCTTATTTTAATTTAAATAAATTACTGCATACTAAACAATATGGTTTCACAAAAGGTCGCTCTACTGATGATGCTGGTATAGCACTTCTTAAACATATATTCAGAGCTTGGGAGGCGTCACAGAATGCTCTTGGAGTATTTTGTGATATTAACAGTGGCCTCCCAATTCATATACAATTGTATACTTTATGTTAGAAACAATATTAACAATTATATTAAACATAGTCATTTACACAAATTTAATACTAGAAACAAAGATAAACTTGTTTTGCCGTCATGCAGGCTAAAGAAGGTTCTATCGTCATTTATGGGTCAAGGTGTACACTACTATAACAAAATTCCTATGGAAATTTTAAATTTACTATTACCTAAGTTTAAAACCCATATTAAGAATTGTCTACTCAGTAAAGGATATTATACTATTAATGAATATTTAAACGACAAAACTGCTTGGAGTTAAATATGGCTCATTTTTCAATCTTGACGCTCTGTATGAAATAAAACAGGGAGAAAAAAACAGCCCTTGCCGAGTTTCTTGCCGGTTCTTCTCGGTACAAGGCCTCCCGCCGTAGATTTATGAACCGATGGCGTAGCTCTCGACTTTCACAAGTGCTTGTAATAGCCTAGACTGAATAAATGATTTTGATTTTGATTCCGATTTTAGATTTTTGCCCCGCCGACATATAAATTGTAATATATATTTTATAAAAAAATAAAACTTGTATTTATTTTCTTGATACTTATGATGCATATCATTTGAAGTTTGAGATTGTACAAAATATAGTTTTTATAATAGCGACTATCTGTATTTTATACTCTTACCGATCCGCCATTTTGTCTCGAAATATATATTTATTTATATAAGATCAACTCACCTTTACACGCGGCGGTATGTGTGGGTAGTACAGACAAACACAAATACAGTAATTACAACAAATCACTACATAGTATAAAACAAAGTCGCTTTCTCTGTCCCTATATCCGTATGTATGCTTAAATGTTTAAAACTACGCAACGGATTTTGATGCGGTTTTCTTTCATAGATAGGGTGATTCAAAAGGAAGGTTTTTATGTATAATACAAGACTACGCGGGTGAAGCCGCTGGCGGAAAGCTAGTTCTTAAATAAAAGACTTCTGTTTTAACCATGACAGACTTAATTATTGTAAATTAGTATAAATTATTTTGTTTAAAAAACAGTTTGTAAACAGAGTTTACGAGCCCTGTCTTAAGGTTGTAGGATAGACGTCGACAGTCAATACTTACGTAGTAAAACCAAATTAAAATAATATTGGTCTACTCTGTTACTCGTTACCGTTTTATAAATAAAATTACTTTTTAATGGAAAATGTAAGAATTTATTTCTATAAAAAATAATTACACATTAAATAGTATGATGAGCCAGGGGTTACAAACTTTTCGTACAACATATACTTTTTATTAAATATCAATATGAATTGTAATGTATATTACAGTAAATACTAGAATTGAAACACTTTTATTTAATGAACTATTAATTTAATTAATCATTTATATCAGTAATTGCTTAATTAGTTTCAAAAATAAATAGTTTTGTGGCACCCTGGTGATTTGGAACCCACATTAGCTTAAAAAAATCACTTTGTCCCTGGCATTCTGAGATGGGAGTACCAGGGTACAAAGTGGACTTTTAAGCATATTTTCCAGTACAGCATTCTGAATGTAAAATTAATCAAACGTAATAAATTATCGTATTACTAACATTGTGATTAGAAGGTAACAGATTTAATATAAAATTAAATTTTGTGTCAGAGTAAATTTACTCTAAGATTGTACTTACTTATAAAGATTCTTATTATTATACAAAGCTTGAAATAGCCAAAGATAGAGACAAACGGGAAGCTTTGGAGGAGGCTTTTACCCTGAGGGGGTCCATACAAATATATTAGAATTTATTTAATTAAAATTCATATCATCATCGAGTAATGTAGCATTATTATTATCATCTGAGGTTTTTGTTTTATTATTTTACGAATTTCTTTTTATTTTTTAAATAATGTTTTACTGCGTCAAATAAAGCTTAATTATTATAAGTTAGCACGAGTTATTTTATTTCCTCCTAGAACTGATGATAATACTTTGATAACAATATGAATTTCGAGTAAATTTAGCTGTCTTGGAGTAAATTTACTCTGAAACTAAATGTTAGATATAAATTTTTGCACTTTGCACTTATTTAAAGTAAAATAACTAAAAACATTTTCTCATATCATTCGAATGTCAAATCGATTAATAAAGCTATATCGTACATATCTTTTATGTATATAAATATTGAAAATTAACTTACAGATCAGACTTAGATTCTATAGTTGAGATTTATCATTCTACTAAACTATTAATAAATAAGAAATGCATTGAAATAACGAAGTTTCTATAAATATTACAGTGAATTTTAGGATTCGACTTCCACACATTCAACTAAAATTCATACATTCACATCTAATTACTTAATAAGTAAATTTGTCATACAATCGCAGATAAAACTCTGATAAAATCTTTGAATAGTAAGATCCCCAATCTATTATAAATAAAGTAAATTATTTATATATGTGGGTGAAACGTAATTCCTATGCCTTACGCCTTTTTATAGCGCTTTGTATCTGTTTCCAAGTATGGATCCAGGGGGGCATGACTTATGAGGAGGGGAGGGGCTTCCCTGAGCTTCCTACAGAACTTGGTGGACTACAAATTGAAATTTTGAAACATAACGTTTTTATATTGTTTTATCGCAATATAGATTTTATTTGAGAACTTTTAATAATTAACTAATTTAATACAATTAAAATAAATGAAGTAATAACGTCTTTCAAGAGGAGAGGTAAAGAAAAATGTTTTTCTTTTTTCTTTAAATTAAGGTAGCTTTTAGTACAAAACTTAGTAATTATAAGTATACTTTATTTTTATTTGTCTATTGGTATCAAAATTAAATTATAATTAGATTTTATGCCCCCACTCCGGCGGCAAAGCAAGATCTGCTCTTGTCGGCCTCACTCACACTCATGAGGGTCAGGCGTTTGATAATGGTGGATCTTTTAAGACAGGAAACTTAATGGAGGGAGAGCAATAATATATTGATATTCAGTCTCACTCTCCTTCTTTATGAATGGTTAAGGAAAATGGGCCATAACCCACCACGCTGGCCCAATGCTAAATAAAAAAAATATGTCAGTATTAAATCCAAGGAATATTCGTTTGGTATTCTACCCTCCAATCCGCATTGGGCCAGCGTGGAGGGTCATGACCCATCCTCCTTAACTGGGGCTAATGATGGCATTTAATATTCGGCGTAAACGGCATCTTTTTCACAACTTATTTCGGCCAAATTCGGTTATAGTATTTCTATTTTCTTGGCTACATAACACAGTAAAGAACTAAAAGCAAAACTTCTCATGTAAAATTTATGTTATATTATAAATTAAAGTAAGCCTATGAAAAATGTGTTGAATAAAGTTAATAAAATAAAGCAATTAAATTTAGTCCACATTAATTCCGAAACCTCAAATCAACATTTATTTTTATACTTTTTTACGCGACAAAACATTGAAATGTTAAAAATACGGCCGAATATCCGGTTCGGTAAAGTTTAAGCCGAATATTCGGATTTGGGTGAAACCACTATTCGGCACATCCCTAATATACAGCTCGTTCTACTCTATAATGTGAATAGCATTAAAGAGTTCTAACAATGAACACTAATATTATTCTTTCAATATTACATTTGTTGTCTAAACATGGCGGTTATTTCTTCTACCGTTTTGTTTTTCGTCTCGGGCACTTTGAAAAATATGAAGATGATAAATAATAATTGTAGAACAGCAAATATTATGAACGTATACGATCCCAAAGCCAGCTGAAAAAGAAAAAAAAAACTTCAGTAAAACCAATAAAAACATATTTTTTACCGCCATTTTGAATGTTTTCAAATGTATACCTTTTTTAAAGTACCCAGTCTGGTTTATAATAAGGTGTAATATTATTATATGCCAAGACTTCGAGGGGTGGATTAGTTAAGTGAAATTAACAACTTTTTCTATAGAAGCAACACTGAATTCACAAAAAAAATCATCCATTAGAGTTTAATGATACATTTAAACTCTAACGCATGTCTAATTTGTATGGGTAATGTCGTTTTAAACTAATTTAATAGACGTTTGTGCAACTGGCAGTAAGTTTATTGATTTTAACATAAATTGCAATAAAATGTTATTATGAAGCTCTATTGAAATGTTCTCACCGTAAGCGGCAGGAAACTTAAGCTGACAATAAAATTAGCCGTCCAATTGACAGTAACAGCTACCGCTGTGGCTGCTGGTCTGGATGACTGATTGAATAGCTCTGAAAAACGTAAAATAAGTAAATGTACTCCGGAGAAACAATACATATACAGGGTTATTTATAAATAACCCTGTATATGTATTACTAGCTAGCTAGCTATAACTAGCTGCTTTATACATTATCATCAACACCAGCTCATCAATATCCCCACTGCTGGGATTCAGGCTTTCCCTATAGATGGAATCGGATAGGGACAATGGGCCATAAACCACGCAGACCCAGGGCGAATTGGTGGGTGTAAACGACTGCAGATGCAGCCGGAACCGACGGCTTAACGTGCCTTCCGAAGCACAGAGTGAGAGAAAATAAATTTTTGGTCACCCATCCTATGAATAGCCATTGCGCTTGATAACCGTATCGCAGGCCGAGCGCGCTAAGCACTGCGCCATTAAGATTGATATTTATACAGGGTTATTTTCAAACTAGCTGTTTAAAAATAACCCTGTATATAAATCCAGCAATTTTTTTTAGTGTAAATTATAGTCTATGTCCTTCGCGTATGATGTAGCTTCAGGTAGGTAAAAAATTTTTTCTAATCGGTTCAGTAGTTTCATATCTTATATGTATATTTATTCATAAATTACATTTGGTTAGCAGGTATTTATTACATTGTATTTAAAGTTAATGTTAGCCTATAATATAGCTTATATTATTTTTTTATACATCAACATTAGTTATATGATCTGTGTGTTAACATTTTTAGTTTATGTCTGAACTAGGTCGGCTTGTGTGTCAAAACAAGTAGAACTAACATAGTTCAATTATATAATCACTACTTAATCAGCAAAAATTCTGTCTTAAATATTAAAAATAATAAATATAAAAAAACAAACAAATGAATAATAACAGGAATATTAAACTTTAGTACAATGAGGAAGTATTTAAAAAAATACATTAGTTCCCAAAATCAAACTAGATGTCGCTACGGTATGTTCTCGATTTTTTCATGACAACCCTTCCGGTTTTCTTTCATGTTTAAAAGTAAATTAGTTTTCAAAACTCAATAAAAAACTCATATTCTATTTGTACTTTTTTGTATTTGTATTGATATCTAAATTTCGAACTTTTCAAATTTCAGTTTTTTAATATGTTAGTTAAAAGGAACGGAAATTACTGTCTTTGGTCCGTTCGTTTCCTGCAAAAATCAACTTTTGCTAGAGTCGCCATCTAGTGGAGGTGCTTTTTTAGTGCTTTCGTTTTTTTTTAATACTTCCTCATTAAAAGGTTATCTGCATCTTGATAAGAAAACATTTTTCTTATTTATAATATTAGCGTAGATTAATAATAAACAACTTAACTCACCAGTAACAAGGAACCAGGGTATGGAACCGGGTCCCGTAGCGAACATGACCACGAAAAGTATCACTAATGCTATACACACGTACGACACCCATATGATGTGGGTCTGTTACAGAAACAAACAATAGACATGAGGCTTGGGTAAAAAAATATATATATTTAGTCCATCAGTCGGATAATAGAAAAATATTAGATACTTTTTTTTTGCTTTAATTTACCAAGAAATGGTATAGGCTTTAAAGTCGAGGAGTGGGGGCTCGCTACATCACAACTATATAGAAAATGTACAAAGGTGTTGGACTATTCAAAAGTGCTTGTAATAGCCTACTTGAATAAAGATATTTTCATGAGACATTTAGTGAAGAAATTCTTTTGATTCCATTTTAGCATAAAAATACAAAACAAGATTGATGGATTTATACGTATCTCAGATATATTATTCTGTTCCTATGTCATTTCGAAACTCACTTCACTTACGCTATCAGCCCTACGATTCTATAAAAATCCAGACCCGAATTCGAATTGCCGCATGTGTCCGATCATCTTTGTATTGGTGTTGAGTGTCAGTCCTACTATGCGGTAAGTATTAAGTGAAATTTATCCAAGATCTTAAATTGTTAATTAGGAGAACAAAAAGCACAAAACCATCTTGAATAGAGAGAGAGAGAGATCGGTAAAACAGAACGTCTAATTATAGACTAATACATTAGCGCCATCTGTTGACAACTAATGTATGTCGGTAAAACAGATCCTTTAAATCAATTAATTAAACATACATTTAAATCTACGTTTCTTATTTACCAATTGGTAATAACGTTTCGTGGCATAAGTAAAGTGTGAATGTCACTTTCTACGTGGAAACGGACACCTGAGCGACTTCGAATTCCGCTCCGGATTTTTACAGAATAGCAGGGATGCGCTGATGGGAACGGCAGGTAGCCATGGATGGGACCTCTAATCAAACGAAGTTTAGGTTCGTTCGATTTGTCTATACAAGATCTCTGGTCCAAGATAATATCCAACAAAGGCTGTCTTTTAGATTAGTTTTAATTTTTAATTATTTTGCGTGTTAGCAAACTCTTTCATATAACATATCTAACATTGTACAAAGAAATTGCTCGGCCGCCATCTTGGGTTTTCCACCATTTATGATATAACTAGTTTTTGCCTGTGACTTCATCTGCGTGGTAAAGTTACTTTGAGCAGCATTTCTAACGAATATTTATTCATTATATCGTGTAAAATACCTGAAATAAAGTTTCATCCCCTATTTTATCCGCTTAGGGGTAGAACTGATCAAAATTCTTTCTTAGCGGATGCCTACGTCATAACATCTATGACGTAGGCAAAGGGTCGCTTCTGAGGTCCCGGGCTCGATTTCCGGTCGGGTCAATACAGATAATGGACCTTTCTATATTGTGTCCGGTCTGAGTGTTGTGATACTTTCGTTGCCTCAAATACTCCATAATACATAATTTTTCAAGCACTCGTTACTTTCGCTACAATGTTTTATTATACTAATCAACGCCATCTATTGACTTTTACATGAAAATCCAAAGAATAGCCTAAGTGTCGCTTGCTCACTTGCGGCATCTAGTGTCGACTCAAGTAAGACAAAATAGCCCGAAGAATAGCCCGAGTTAGGACGGTCACAATTAGTTCTATGGGTTGAGACATCACCGTCACCAGCCCTTTTACGTCCCCACTGCAGGGGCTCAGGCCTTCCTTATGGATGGTTAAGGAGGACGGGCCATGACCCTCCACGCTGGCCCAATGCGAATTGGAGGGTATTAACGACTGCAAATGCAGCCGGGACCAACGGCTTAACGTGCCTTCCGAAGCACGGAGTAGCTCGAGATAATAATTTTTGGTCACCCATCCCGTGACCGACCCTTGCGAAAGTTGCTTAACGATTACGATCGCGGGCCGCGGCGCTTATCCACTACGCCACCGAGCTACTACCACTGGGTTGAGACATATGTATAATTTATGTATATATGTGGTAGGAAGATACTTACGTAAAGTAACGCGACACACAGCAATACCGTACAGACAAACATCCCGCTGAATCCGGCCAACAATAAAGTTTTCCTACCCGCAACTTCCACCAGGAACAAGCTCACTATAGTCATCACGACGTTCATGGCGCCAGTACCTTAAATTACAACATTATATATTAACACGTGCAACAAAAACTTTGGACCCCTTGTTAAGAAAATTGTCTGGACAAAGGAGTATGAAAGATAAGTTAGAGAAGTGCAGAATGCTATTTTATGTAATAATAGCTTTAAAAATATATCAAATTATTAAAGGAAACATAACACATACTATCCAATAAAATCCTTGCACACATTACCTTACGTTTGAATGTCAAGCAATCATAAAGAAGCTTATCTATGTAACAGACAAGTGTATAATCAGACGACCAAATAGGCGGCTAGCCCTTTAACTGAATCCATTCAATTAACAGGCTGATTTACGATCATTCGAGTAATGAACGCAACGTTCTAAAATACATTGGTACAGAGGACTGAACAAAAATGTGTCGTACAATTGAATGGCGCCATTCAATTAAATGGCTCGCCGCCCAATTGAACGGCTGTTTTAACCAGTTTGCTGCGACATCTATACTATATAGGTAAAGCATTTTTAATAATAAGACTATTAGAAGTACAAAATACTTCATCAGCACAGTGGCCCGGCAAAATGGAAAAAATATGAATATTAACATCAAAAAACAAAATAGGAACGCAATTTCATAGATAATTTAATCGGATATTTTTAAAATAATGTTGATTTGAATTATCTAAGGTAAGCGCTAGAGGCCAATATCTTTAAAAGATCTCGAAAAATGCTATCTTTGCACACACGCACACACACACAGATACCTTTGAAAGGGATTACGACAATATTAAATTAAACAATAAGCCCCCTGTTTTCAATTCAAGCACTACATTCCTTCATTACTCACCTAACGTAGCGTATTGAGACTCCGACTCGCTCAGATTGGCTTTACTGAATATATCAGTCGAGAAGAATATTACTGCGTTGATGCCAGACAGCTGCTGAGCAACCATCACGACCATGGCAATCACCAGCGGTTGTCTCAGTTGGCGATTGCGAAACAACTCGCGTAATGTCACTTTCTTTGTTATTTTATTCTTCTCCGCTTCCTGGATGAATCATAGAAAAGTATTCGGATTACAGCCGGTACTTAAACGTAGTTTAAAACAGGTTTTCGTTTCCGAATTTAATTTTTTGATAGCAGTTCGATAAAACTAGACACTTTTACCATGTGAAATCTAAAATACTCAAGCTGTTGAGAATAATCAGCCCTGCGATTCTGTTAAAATTCAAACCCCAATGAGGAAGTATTTAAAATAAAAAAACATTAGTTCCCGAAATCAAACTAGATGTCGCTACGGTACGTCCTTGATTTCTCCACGACAACCCTTCCGGTTTTCTTTCATGTATTAAAGTAAATCAGTTTTCAAAACTCAGTAAACAACTCATATTCTATTTGTACTTTTTCATATTTGTATTGATATCTAAGTTTCGAACTTTGCAAATTTCAGTTTTTTAATATGTCAGTTAATAGGAACGGAAATGACTGTCTTTGGTCCATTCGTTTCCTGCAAAAATCAACTTTTGCTAGAGTCGCCATCTCGTGGAGGTGCTTTTTAGTGCTTTTTTGTCAAATAAACCTTATCATTTATTCAAAATCTTTCAAAATCGCCGTCACATGTCTTTTTAGCATGAAGTTTGTGAATATTTTTCAATGCCAAATTCAAAGTGATCGTGACAGATTTTAAAATTAGACAATAAGTCCACTAGACGATGCGCTATGTCGCTATGTTAAGGATAATGATTAAATTTGTTTGTCTGCCCGTCAGGCAGATTATCTAAGAATTAAACGCGTATTTTTTTAAATGGCGTTACATCGAGTTGAAATGACATCACGCCTTTGTACATTTTCTACATAGCTGTGTAACGAGCCCCTACTCCTCAACTTTAATGCCTATTATCTAAGACATTTCTAGTTTAAATTGAAGTAAAAAAATACGTATCTAATATTTTTCTATTATCTGACTGACGGACTTGATAGAATTTCTTTTTTTTTACCCGAGCATTATTCTAAAGTAGTAAGTAGCCAGATTAAAAGTATTTCATATGTTAATTAAAGGTATGAATTACTTATGTATTTGCGTAAAATTTCAGCAACTTTGACCAATAAGTAGTTAGCATAGAATAGGGATGATGATTTTTGTTTGTTTGTCCGTCAGGTAGAGTGTTAAAAAATATTAAACACGTATTTTTTTATTTTTTTCGTAATCATAAAATTACGGCGTTACATGGAGTTGAAATTTCGCATGACGTCACGTTATGGTACGTTTTCTACTCAACTGTGACGTAGCGAGCCCCCACTCCTCAACTTTAATGCCTGTTATCTAAGCTATTTCTTGTTAAATTGAAGTAAAAAAAAAAATACGTATCTAATATTTTTCTATTATCTGACTGACGGACTAAATAGAATTGCATTTTTTTACCCAGTCATCATCCCTATTATGATTTACTTTAATATGGGATTGTTATGGATGTATGTATGTATAGCATAATCAAGCAGTAGGTAAAGCAGTAATACATGCCTGATGCATTTCTTCCATTTCACCATGGACAGCTACGTCGCCGCGGAGCCAATTGAGAGCTGAAACCAATTTAAAATATTATAAAATAAATCGTTTTTGTATAATCGTTCCAATTTTAATATATTGTTACGATTTAGGGTTCGGGATTTTTTTTCCATTTATTTTGGTATCAAACAGTCATTTACATAACCAATTGTGTATGATTAAATGTGCTTTAAATTACAGACCAATAGAACCTAAAACGTACATTTTTTGAATTAAATAAATAAGAGAATTTACATGATAAGACACGCATAGGTACATATAAAAAAAAACATTCGGCAAAAGAATGACTTTGTACAATTATATACTTACATTGCTCTTAAGCAAACTATCTAATTACATAGTATATCTTTTAACTTTGTCTTCAATACAGAAATTGACAAATTAAAGAGATCAAGCTCGGAGAATTCTTTATTATAAATGTTGGATGACCGATAAAAGTAAGAGTTTCGTGTATAATTTTTATGCAATTTTGGAGGATAAAAATTAACGCCAATTATAATTCAACGGAGGATTATCTGCTATAAGCGAGTACTGAGTTACTTTGGTCATATCGCTAGAAGACAACCCGATAGCTTAGACAAATTGGTCATTGTAGGGAAAATAGATGGCAAATGTAGACGAGGTCGTTCACCTACCCGGTGGTCTGATCTTATAAAAACCGTAACTGGACTCAAAGTACCGGCAGCTCTAAGCCAAGCAGAGGATAGGGTAGTGTGGAAGCAAATCATCAAGGCTTCATGGATGTCAACTTTTATAAGAGACACGACCTTCAGCAATGAAGACAGCGACCAAGAAGAATAGTTCACAATCCGACTTTGTTTAACACAATAAAATGTCAAAAATAATCCAACTACAAAAATTCACACTTCAACTTCACTATTTCACGTCACTAATAACACTTCACAACACTATTAGATCGCTCACCGCTCTAGTTATCGGCTCGAGTTTCGCTTCCGATCGCTCTTGCTTTCAGCCCTGCGATACTGCAAAAATCCAGACCCGATTTCGACTTCAAACAGCGGCATCCACTCAACCTTGAATTGGGAATATTGTTTCGTGGCATAAGTGATGTGAGTTTCGTAATGACAGGAATAGAATATCTGAGACACGTTTAACCAATCAATATGTTTTGTATTTTTATATAAAAAAAAACGGAATCAATACAATTTCTACACTAAATGATGTGACATCGGACACATGAGTGAATTCGAAATCGGGTCTGAGTTTTTACAGAATCGCAGGGCAGAACTCTTATTCATTGTAGAATGCCGGGACCTAGAACATTCTAGATGTTCCCTCTTCCCTACCGGTAAATTTGAGGCATTACCAAAAAGTTCTAGAACAGCTGCCCTTCCCTTTCTTCCCCAGTGACTGTCCACAGTCCAGACGTAATTTCAAAAGTATTAGCGCGATTCATTGGCACATAACGCCATCTAGTAATGCGTAGACGAACCTCGCCGTTGCGCTCCATAACAGTATGTACACATACACTATTTAAATTATGCGCTTCGGCTATATTCCTCAAGCTTCGGCAATCCTAATGTATTTTAAAGATATCTATATAGAGTTGTTATTACATAATTAATCATTACGCTTAAATTTAGATTGGGTCAGCCAATTTAAAAATAAAAGTATACTGTGTTTCTTGCCAGCAGCTGATACCAAAATGAAAACCCCCAGATTAAAGAAAATCGAATTAAGATAAATCGGTTGTACTAACTAAATAAGTTTCTGACACCAGTAAGTCGAACAGTTTTTTTAATAAAACAAAATTCATCAATTAATATAAATTTCATCAATTAATCACAATTTGTTATGACTTCTATACCCGACATTTCAGACTCAGAATTATTACTGTCGCTGCTGAAACCAATGTTTAGAATGAATCTATCCGAATGGTTATCAAACACAGGCTCAAATTTCCGGTACACTTCCTCACACTTGATAGCATGATCATTTCTTCCATTCGTCGGGTCCTATCTAAACACGAAATATACCGAGGCGCATAATTTAAATAGTATATGTCTACTGCTTAAGCAAGTACAAAGTAGCATTCCGCCCGCGGCTTTGCATTATACTTAAACTAGCTTTTGCCAGCGACTTCGTCCGCGTGATATAGTTACTTTGGGCATCATATTTTCCAAAAACGCTGTTGTTCCAAAAACGCGTCAAAAAAGCTGATAATGAAATTACCTTGATGTTTAAGTTCGAAGATAGTACAACAAAAAACCACCAAATGTCCAATATGTTTCAGCACTTTGAAACTTTAGATATATTAATCCAATTCAATGCAATTTGAAATACAGATGAAAAAAAAAACTGTTCTGAAGTTTACAAAAAACTTAATGGAAAACGTAATATACTCAAAATTCTTTGAAAGAAACGTTACCGCAGATTACTTTACAATAAACGCCATCTATTAGGCGTATTTACAACCTAGATGTCAAACGATATTGAAGAATTTTATCTATGAATCACGGTACACCGCCATCTATGAGAACTTCATAAAACTAAACAGTAAATAAACACTTGCTTAAGAAACAATTCGTTAGTATTCGTTTACATTCACGACATAAGCGAATAATTGAGATGATATCCTATCCAGTAAGTTAGACCAAAATACGGGTACATGTGAAATTTGATTGAAATCGGTTCAGTAGTTTTGAAGTTTATTGGCAACATACATCGTGACATAAAATTTTTATATATATATAAGATATAAATTTACCCCTTAAATCACTCTGTATATTGCCATAAACTGCATTAAAATTGGTTGGGTAGTTTAAGAAAGTTTAACAGACAGCGGGAAGTGACTTTGTAAGTACACCGAGTTACCTACATCTCAGAAGCTCGTTGCTATAGGGCCGTTCATTAATCACGTAAGATTTTTTCAGCATTTTTTAACCCCTCATCCCCCTTGGTGGTACACGGTGAGGTTTAAGACTAACGCCCCCCTCCACCTAATCGCGGGTATTTTTTAATACATACAAAACCATTTTTAATTTTTGACGTCGCTTTTCGGTTTAGTAATCGTGCGTTTGAGGAAAAAAATAAATACACGTGATATATTACTACAACCCCCCTCCCCATTGTGATATTTCGTGATTTATTACGAACCCCCCTCTCCCCCTTTCGAGCCTCACGGTGGCCCCTAATCAATAGAGAACGTTATAAGATTAAAGAGATAGTTATAATGTTACTGACCTCGTTGAGCGTGAAGCTCCTGTGCCTTGTTTAACAGTAAATATTTAGGTGATTCCGGGCATAATGGTAGTGTAATACATTGCAACACCGCTGGTATAATAGTTAAAGCTAGCAACCATGGCCAACCCTCATCCGTGCCCAACACTGACGACAGTCCAAGCACTTGCGACAAAAGTATAGTTATAGTTATAACTAATTGGTACACTGTACCGATCTGTAAACAATTAAAGATAAATTGAAGGTTTACATTACATATTAACATAAATATTATATGCACATTTCTAATTCAGTATCGTACTCGTATTTTAATAAGCTTTCGTTTAACATGCCGTGTTAGAGGGGATCAAATCTTGCAAACTAAGTTTGACCCTGTTACCGGTTAATGGAAAACCGGTAATTTTGAAATGCAATATTAATATTGAACTCAACTGATCTTGAAGCTGAAGAAGAAGATAACTAGTTAATACACCGAATCAGTCTGTAAACAATTATAATTAATAATAAAAATATAGAAATTGTTTTAACTAGCATATGTTAGATAGTTTCCTTAGAGATATTTTGTGTAGGCAAATCAAACGATCCCAAACGACTTTCCATTATTATTGCAAGGTCCCATGGCCTTCCTATACTTTCCAATTTAATCATTAGACCCTTGATATTATTTCGGACCAAAGTCCTCAATCGAGTTCAAATTAGTAAAAAACTCGATGGGGTTGCTTATTTTAATTACAGATGTATAATAACTACCTTCTGGCTCCAGAAGATAAGTTCCATTCTATAATTATATTGCATAGTCTTTTAAGTTCTAATATGCATGTAAAATTTCAGCTCAATCAAAAACCGGAAAATGGGTCAAATTTAGTTTGCAAGATTTGACGTCTCTAATACTGCATATTAAATTAAAGCTTCTTAATTAATATCGCGATCGCTTTACAATGTGCATAAAGAAAAACATAAACATTAACAAAATTAAAACTAAGATAATAAAAGATAGAGGTAAAAGATGATAAATTGCGTGCGTCAAATAGAAATAAAAATGTTTTTAACTAAACACATATCGCGGGGTATAGCTTATAAAAAAAAGGTTAATTCTTACCGATCCTCTGAGTGAGACAGGTGATATTTCTGCAAGATACATTGGTGCTAACCCAGCGTTCAGTCCGTTGTTCACACCTATCACAAATCTGTAAGCAAATATATATATATTTTTTTAAACCTGTATGTAAATATCAGATCATAAACTTGACGTTGCAGACTTCATTAGAATAATAAACGTTTTTTTAAGTTTCTATATTTCACCTTTTTTGAAGTCTGTGTAGTATATTAGTAATAGTACATTTAAAAGCTTAAATTTAACTTGCCATATTAGTGAGTGTGGGCCAAATTTTGCGAGTTAAATTTGACCCACTTACCGGTATTCGATTGAGCTGAAATTTTGCAGCACATGTTGTAGACATACATATAATACATACATGCAAAATATCATCCCGGTAGTGACACTGACGTGACGTGGTCTTTCAGAGCCCTGGATAGGCTAGATAGTACTACAGTAGCATATGGCCGGAGAGAATGATTCATAAAGGTTCAGCCTTGATGAATCCTTTTGAGGAAACGGGCTAAGACTGGGATTCTACAGTTCTTCCTCCGCCTGGTAGGTTAAAACATTTTACAATCCTGTTCTGTCTGTGGGGTAAGATTAAACTTGCGGATACAGTGGGACCTCGCAAAGTGAGCAGAAACATGCAAGACATCGTTTTAGTGGATATCCCTCCGTGCTAAAATCTTTTTTTTTATTTTATCGTTTGGATACATAAATATTTCGCATATAAATATTTCCAATTGTCCTAAAATAAAAATTTTAATTCACCTGCCAACAATCAACATCTCCGCTGACTTAGCCACCTTCGCCGTACCCTCTAGCAATGCCCCAATAAATACCAGAATGTTATTCATTAGCAACCCAAGCTTCCTGCCGAATCTGAAACAAAAACATATAATCTGTACATTTTAAAAAGAGATTATTTGTATGTAATAGATTAAAATAAAAAAGCGGTGGCATAGTGGATAAGCGCCGCGACCCGCGATCGTAGTCGTTAAGCAACTTTCGCAGGGGTTGGTCACGGGATGGGTGACCAAAAAATTATTATCTCGAGCTACTCCGTGCTTCGGAAGGCACGTTAAGCCGTTGGTCCCGGCTGCATTTGCAGTCGTTAATACCCTCCAATCCGCATTGGGCCAGCGTGGAGGGTCATGGCCCATCCTCCTTAACCATCCATAAGGAAGGCCTGAGCCCCTGCAGTGGGGACGTAAAAGGGCTGGTGATGAGATTAAAAAAAAAACACGGATTTAATTCTAAATACTCTTTCACCAATCAAGTGTCAAAACTCAAAGCTTGAAGGGCACTCAAATTGTTTTACACACAGTACTGAAAGGCTTGGGAGTTTCCGAAGTAAACAACATTTACCACTCTGAGGTTCTTCTAAAAAAATATAAGAGAACTTAAGTGGCATTATTAGTTCAAAAATAATTTAAATAGTATTAAACAAAAGAATATACAAATCCAGTGATCTTCAGAGCGACCGTTTAAATCTCTCGCTATAAATCTAGCCATAGCTAGAAAAATGTTTTTCCGTTCATATATTTAAACGAACATTTTGCTTTATTTTTCTTCTCGAAATAGCATTGTTTGTATAAATTCGATTAAAATTCAGTAAATTACAACAACTAAAACCACTGAATTCCATAAATAATAAAACAAGAACATTATAAAGGAATATAAATGTATTATACATTGATAAAAATAATAAAACGCTCTTATAGCTTTGGCTAAAGTTATAGCGAGCTCGCCTCACCGGGAATCGAACCAGAGAACTCAGAGATGAGCGTCATGCGACACGGATATCGGCAATAATGTAGTTTCGGTAATGAAAAATAAGTCACGAAATTGCACAAAAACTAAAATTTACATAGTTATAAACATAGATATCTTTTATTTGAGTCTTAAAATCGCATAATTATATTAAAAGGCGTGATTTTTGCCTGTGTGTCACGTGACGTGAAACACGTCACGTGACACACAGGCTTATGATTAATACATCTTTATGTTTAATACGACAACTGTCATATTAATCATAAAGATATCCCTATTAATTATAAATCAAATTCCTATGTGGCGCTGTTTTCAGCTTATTTATATGATTTTTATTTCGCAATCGATCGTTAGATGGCATTGTTCTTGTTTCATTGACAGCTTCTAGTCTATGCATCTGTTTTGTATACATATCACAGTGACGTCATGAATATGACGGACAACGTTTTCGCGGGTAAAAAAAAGTTTAAATTTTGATTTAAATTTAAGGCAAGAAAACATGTTTATTTTACCTAAATATTTATTTAATGGCTTTTGTAAATTAAAATGAAAAGTTAGAAGTATTATTTCAAACGGAGTAGAATACTCTATTTCTTACCTGTCGGCCACCACTCCTGTGATGACTCCTCCCATCATACCGCCCACGCAGTAAATTGAGACAGCTATCGACCATATACTGGTCACTTTCGGGTCATCTTTTGCTGGTATCGTAATATTAGTGCCTGTCAATGCTTCCTTCTGTAACCATTCCGACATCACCTGGAACATATTATATGATTTGTAATGAAAAAACGAAAGCACTAAAAAGCACCTCCACTAGAAAACGATCTAGCAAAAGTTGATTGTTGCAGGAGACGAATGGACCAAAAACAGTAATTTCCTTTCCTTTTAACTAAGATATTAAAAAACTAAAATTTGGAAAGTTCGCAACTTAGATATCAATACAAATACGAAAAAGTACAAATAATATGAGTTGTTTATTGAGTTTTGAAAACTAATTTACTTTTAAACATGAAAGAAAACCGGAATCCCTTACGGTCATGGAGAAATCAAGAACGTACCGTAACGACATCTAGTTTGATTTCGGGAACTAATGTTTTTTTTTAAATATCTCCTCACTGACGGTTAATACTGACGTAAATCTTTTAGGGTAGGTTAAAAACTAAGACTTCTCTGTCTGTCCGTCTGTCACCAGGCTTTAGGTATCTCATGAACCGTGATAGTTGAAATTTTCTCTGATTATCAGTCGGTCTCTGAATTGAAAAAAGGTACAAAATCTCAACTGATTATTCTCAATAACTTAAGTATTTTTTAATTTATACGAGGCAAGAAGCTGCAATCTACTGATCATTAAAAAACTATAATCAGAAACGAAAACCTGCTTAACGAGGAAGTATTTAAAAAAAAGAAAGCACTAAAAAGTACTTTCACTAGATGGCGACTCTAGCAAAAGTTGATTTTTGCAGGAAACCAATGGACCAAAGATAGTCATTTGCGTTTCATTTTAACTAGCCTATTAAAAAACTTTAGATATCATTACAAATACGAAAAGCACAAATAGAATATGAATTGTTTATTGAGTTTTGAAAAGTAATTTACTTTTATACATGAAAGAAAGGGTTTTCTTGGAGAATTCAAGAAAGTACCGTAGCGACATCTAGTTCGATTTCGGGAACTACTTTTTTAAATACTTCCTTATTGACGCTTAAGTACAGTTTGGGACGTGCTTAACTATCAATACTGATTTAGTATCGAAAGTTAAGCACGTCCCAAATTGTACTTAAGAAAACCGGGTGTATTTCTGTTTCCGCTACGAGTGTAACAGCAAATACCCAAAATAAATATTTAAGGATATACATTCCATATTAAATTTGTGATTTTTATTAAAGTCCAGTCATACCATTTGAGGTGCGTTTATAACACCAGTGTTATAACCATGCTGGAAAGCGGACCAGCACGCCGAGGATAGCACAGCGAACGCCAGCCGCAAGTTCATGCCCTGCGGAATATAACAACATTACATTATTATATATGTATACTAATATTCGTAACATATTGAGTAGCTCAGTGGCGTAGTGGATAAGCGCCGCGGCAAGCGATCGGTGTCGTTAAGCAACTTTCGCAACGGTCGGTCACGGGATGGGTGACCAAAAAATATATTATCTCGAGCTACTCCGTGCTTCTGAAGGCACGTTAAGCCGTTGGTCCCGGCTGTATTTGTAGTCGTTAATACCCGCCAATCCGCGTTGGGCCAGCGTGGAGGGTCATGGCCCATGCTCCTTAACCATCCATAAGGAAGGCCTAAGCCTGCAGTAGGGACGAAATAAAGGGCTGATGATGATGATGATGATACTAATATTATAAAGACGAAAGACTTCACAGTTTGTTTGTTTGCATCGAAAAAGTTCCAAACTAATGCACTGATTTTAAAAATTCTTTCACCCACGGGAAGTTATATCATATGGGGTTGACATAAGATATAAAGAGCTAGTATATGTATAAAATGTAAAGCTGACTGACTTATATATCAACGCACAGCCGAAACTACTGCACTTAGAAACTTGAAACTTCCTAAAATCTTTCTTAGTACACCTCTACGTAATAAGAGGAATGTACCCTCCAAATTTCAAGTCTCTACGACCAAGAGTTTAGGAGGTGCGTTGTCTGTCAGTCAGTCTGTCAGGACATTTTTTATAGGTATTGTTATATATAACGACGGGTAGTCAGAGGGGGCTTTTACGAAGCCCAAATAGATGGTCCATATCGGCAGACTATCTTTAAAATAACACTGCAGGCGTGTATACCAACGTGGATTTATTCCATTTTATCACTTTTAATACGAAAATATAACGAGATGAGCGCGATGTCGTCGGATGTCTTTACTCCTCGGCGTTTGGAAACAGAACGTGTGCCAAAATGGCGGCATCTTGATTTTTGTTAACGAACTGTCAATAATTAAGTAATCAAGTAACTAGCAATTAAAATAAAAGAAACTAAATCAAACGATCTTCGTAAAGATGATGCTACATATATGTATTGAGTGTTCTGATTAACTTCTTTAAATTTTAGATGTGTGAAGCGATGCATTGGTTTGTGAATCCGCTTCGCTCCATTTCAATGAAGCCTATGCTAAGGCCACGGGTAATCGATATTGCATGATCGAATTACCCATTGTTACTTTGTTATTAGTATTGCTGAATAACAGGCATATCGATAATTTCTTACGTTACGGTTTTTTAAACAAACATAGACTTTGAAAGCTTGGAAATAATACTCATTTTAAAAGCGGTTCATATACACATGAAAATCCTATTGAAGCTATTATTATTAACGACCAACATATCCGTATGACTTCAGTAGAATTTTCATAAAACTAACCTCATCTGAGGTCGAAAACCTTTTCCAACCAGACCAGCGATTCTGCAAATCACGTCATTTAGTGTAGAAATTCTATTGATTCCATTTGTAATAATAATAATAATAATAATAATAATTTATTTGCTTTTAAATGAGGTACATTGTAGATTGAATTAAAATTTGAGTTCAGCCCATTTAGCCATCAACTATAGCATGCAAATATTGATAAAATTACATTGGATATATTATGTATGTATTGTTGTATAAAAATACAAAACAACATTGATTGAATACACGTGTCTCAGATATTCTATTCCTATGACATTTCGAAACTCACTTCACTTATGCCACGAAACGACATTACCAATTCAAGGTTGAGCGGATGCCGCTTTTTGAAGTGAATTCGGGTCTGGTTTTTTTACAGAATCGCAGGGCAGGACGGAAACTTGGTATGGTAGTATAAGAGTATTGGTATTGCGTTCATACCTAGTGCATACATTTTTATCTTTATTATAATAATTTTGGTAGATGGCGGCAGCTCATTCGGAGCAAACCAGTTTAAATTTTTTAAAGTTATTTAAGTATTTTTCTCAAAATGACCCCCTCCCGCCTTTCATAACACGTCCCACCTAGACCCTGACTGAATTTGACAACCCTTTAAATAATGGTCTCCAGAAAATGTAGTTTTAACTATTTAGCGTCTTTAAAATGAGTATTATATATCATG